GGAGTCAACCTGGTTTCAGCCCTTCAGAGGAGACGGAGGCTTGGCCAGCTCTTGGAGAACCTGCCCGGAGGTGGGAGAAGGATGGCTCCATCCCCAGCTGCCCTTCTTGCCATCCTCACTCCCCCCGTCTGGTGGCAGCAGGGCACGCATCTCAGGAGCTCTTTGCCCCTCTCGCCCTTCCCCAAGGTGTGAATAAGATCATCCCCGTGTCCCGGGCAAAGTCCGGCTTTGCCTGCGCTGCCAAGGAGCTCTGACAGCCTGGCCACCCGCCCTGCCTTGGGCAGCTGGCACTGACCCGCGCCCTAGGGGGTTTAAAGTGATACCAGCCCAGGGAGAGGTGCATCCACCTCCTCCTGGTGGTCCCAGCCCGCTCAGCACCATCCCGGAGCGCGCAAAGATCCTCATCTGGCGTTTCCCAGCCGTGCGCGCACGCACATACAGAGTCGCAGGACGCCAGGGGTAAGGGAGCTCTGGAGATGGGGGAAAAGGGGGCAAAAGAAGAGCATCACGCTTCTTTTCTAGTCGGGCTTCATCAGAAAGGCTCTCCCGACACTCTCCCCACCTAACCTCAGGAGGGGAAAAAAGCTGTCACGGGGCTGCTCAGACTTCCCTGCTGCCAGGATCTCCCGTAGGTTCCCCCCCTCTCCTTCCCAAACCCAGCCTGATCCTGCCTACGAGTCCTCCTGCACACAACAACGGCCCCTCGGTGCCCCAAGCCCCATCCATCGCCACCTTCCCAGCCCCTCGGGAAGCCGGCTGCTCCTCCGGGGGGGAGCTGGAAAGCAGAGCCTTGGCTCACCTGCAGCTGGGATCACCAGGTAAAAGAGCCTCAGCACCAAGAGAACCTGCAGAGAAACAGCCTTCATGTTCCCGCGGCAAACAGCAGGAAGGGTGGGCAGGGAAGGATTAAGGGCAGTCTTTCCCTCTCCCGGCTGCTTATTGCATCCTCCGGAGCAACACAGCTGCTGCGGCTCATTCCAGGATTATGAAGCCCTGGGATAGGGGTTCTGCTGTTATGGAGCTCTCCCCCCTCGCAGGGTGACGACAGGAGGCGGAAGGAAGAGTGGGATAGGGGAGGGAATATCGCCTGCTCCCCAGAGAGGCAGCTTCTGGAATTCCCCGTGCCCACATGAGCTTTTCTTAGCTCTTGCAGGTCGGCTCCAGCCTCCCCGGCAAATTATTCAGGCGGGGGCATTCCAGAGCTGCCTGCTCCATCCTCCTCCTCCTCCTCTCCCACCGTCTCGCAGCCAGACCCCGCTGCTCCTCAACGCACAGGAGGCTCATTTATTTTTACCCCACCAGATGCAAAATCGGCTGTCCCCCTCCTTTTTGACAGCCGTCTTAAATCACAGAGTCAGTCGCAGAATCACGGAATCGTTGAGGCTGGAAAAGACCTCTGAGATCATCAAGACGAGCCTGTTTCCCAGCGCCAGCATATCGGCAAAAAAAAGTGTGGGTTGTTAAGCCAAATGAGGTGGAACGTGCTAATTGGGATTACGAGGTTGTCAGCAAATTAGTGAGCTCACACCAACGCTGCCTCTTAGCAGCATCACCAGAGCAAGGGGTGAGCAGGGACCGAGTGGCGTCCCCAAGCAGCTCCTCATCCCCTGGAGGTGCCACCGTTACAGCCCTGACAGGGTCTCGGCCAGGGCGGTCTCGCTTGATGCTGAGAGCAGGGGTATGAGGTCCCCAAATCTGCAAAAAAAACCAGGCCAGGCTGAGGGAGGGGATTGCTGGCACCAACTCGAACCCGGCTCCAAAGTGGACGTGCCAACACGGTGGCCGCATCCTGCACCTTTACTTTCTCTTTCATCTCAGGTCCCAGCAGCGTGCAGCACGATTTTCCCCTGCCAAAATCTCCAACTGGAAGAGGAAGATAAGACCAAGTCTGAGACAAGCGCGGCTGCCCCCGAAATCCTTTTCTTCCCAGAGTTTTCTTAGGGCTGGTGGAAACCTGGCTTCCCTGTGCTGCAGGAAATTTATTTCTAAAGGGTGAAAACCCCCCGGGTTTCCACATGATGTGTGGTGTTTTTTTTAGCATTTGCTGAAACTCCCAGCCTTTGTTTGCATTGTAATAAAAGACAAAACACATTTAGAGGAAATAAAATAAAAATTGAGACAATTAAGACCTTGAAATAGTCCATTTGATCCAGCCAGAGCAGAACACGCTGTGTCTGTTGCGATGTTTTCTGGCCCCTTCCTCAAACGGGGTTTTCTGAGGCTGGGCAGAGCCTTACAGGAAATTTTTATTCCGGGAATCGGTGTCGCCTGAGCCCGGCGGGCACTTTGGCTGCTGGCAGGGATGACGAAGCCCAAAGGAGCTCACACCTGCCCCGAGAAAACAGGTTCTGCTTCTTGTGCAAAGCATGGCCATGGATAAAACCCAGGAAGGGCTCCAGCACACACATAATCTGGGAGGGGGAGTGCTTTGTTTGCTCAAGGCAGGGTTTGCCCCAGGTGTGGGTGTTTTAAGGCACAGAGAGCTCTCGTGCAGGTTCTATGGGCTCAACCAGGCTTCAGCTGATTTAACTTATTCCGTTACAATAGATTTTGTCTGGGTAATCGCTGCAGCCTGAATTCGATTTGGTTTTGGCTTAGTTTCTGGGAACAGCGAGGAGTTATTCGGCGTGGGTCTGCAACGGCGGATTAAACCGTGATGTGGGGTGAGGGTGGGTAGGGGAGGACATCGACAATCCTGCTCCATCAACATGAATCACAGCGCCCAAGCGATGGGGTGTCTCTCTTCTGAGAGAGGGGAAAAAAAAAAAAAAGAGCAGAAAATCTGAGAAACTGGGAACCGGGGAGCACAGACTGTGCTGAAGAAAATGGGTGGAAATGAAACCGAGCGGACCGAGAGTGAGGAGGAAGAAAGCCCACCGTGAATGTCATCTCGCAGGCGTTGGGCCGGGGCAGGTCGTCGCAGCCCTTCCCCATTCTTCCTTGGGAGGACGGGAGGGAGGGTTTCTGAGAAGCCAAAGGCTCTCTGGAGCTCCGAAGAAAAGCGGTAGATACCGGGAAAAGCATAACCCCATCTAACTTTAACCACGGTATGAATGAGGAAGGCCATTAGGCTGAACCGAAACGTGGACAAGACAAAAATAATCCGTGAGCACGAATAGGTTTGTGGCTCTGCTGTGGGCAGAGGGACCATGCCAGGCTGTGACCTCTGCACCGTCTGACACGGCTCCAGGCTTGGTCCTCAACGCCCACCGAAGGACCCGGAGGCTCCCGCCAGATGATTTGGTGCCAAGGCCGGAGTCTGGGCTCTCTGCTCTGCTCTAAGGGCGGTTTCACCTCAGGGTGGATTGGATGTCCTGCTGCTTTCTCTGCTGCGGAGAAGGGGAGAGCAAGGTGTGGGGTGGAATAGATGTTGGTGACGTGCTCAGGATCTGATGCCGTGCCCCTAACCTTTGGCTCCTCACGGGCAACCATTAGCCAGGAGCTTAGTTTATTCCTCCAAACCACAGATACCACGGGCCAAAGGGCAAGATCTCATCTTCCCCACGAGAGACGTGGAAGCAACTCCAACATTTCCCACCCACTGCAGCTCTGCCGGGCGGGAGCTGTGCACAGGTACAAATAATGTGTGGCTAATGCCAGGGAAATTCCTCCTGGAAGCAAAAAATAACTTGACCTTGGGAAGGTAATATGCAAAAGAACATGCAGAGAGGCCAAGGGTCGTCTCTTTCAGGCTGCTTCCATGCTCCTTGGTTATTTTTGGCTGCTCATGCAAGAAAGGCTGTGTGCTGTTTGTTAGGAGTGGATCTGTCTTCCTGGAAATCAGGTGGTGGTTGGAGAAAAAGAAGTCGGTGAGACCTAGGAAGCTGTCCAGATGCTTGAGCTGATCAGATGAGAATGTTGATGATTCCCACTGCATGGTCTGTTCAGGAGCAACCAAGACTTGGTCAGCAGGGCTAGGGAGGTGACTGTCCCCCTGTACTTGGCGCTGGTGAGGCCACACCTTGAGCACTGTGTTCAGTTTTGGGTGCTGCAGGACCAAAAAGCCATCGAGGGGCTGGAGCTGGTCTAGAGAAGGGCAACGGAGCTGGGGAAGGGTCTGGAGATCAAGTGTGATTGGGAGCGGCTGAGGAAACTTTGGTTGTTCAGCTGGAGAAGAGGAGGCTGAGGGGAGACCTTATCACTCTCTGCAGCTCCCTGAAAGGAGGCTGTGCAACTGATAGGACAAGGAAACAGCCTCAAGTGGCACCAGGGGAGGTTTAGATTGGACATTAGGAAAAATTTCTTCCCCAACAGGGCTATGGAGCCCTGGCACAGGCTGCCCAGGGCAGGAGAGGAGTCCCCATCCCTGGGGGGATTTCAAAGATATGGTGATCAGGGACAGGGTCAGTGGTGACCCTGGTAGAGTCAGGTGACGGTTGGACTTGATGATTCTGAAGGTCTTTTCCAGCAGTAAGAGTTCTATGGTTCTATGACCTCAAGAGCTGGTCTTTCCTCGAGCAGGGAAGCCCAGCACCCCTGGCAGCAGGTGCTAGCAGCATCCTTTGCTGTCCACCACCACGTCCATGATCTCTATGCCAGAGGCTTGCTGGAAAGGAGGCAGCAGGAACACTGAGCTTCTGTCTCTTGATGCTGCAAAGGAGACAGGCTGAGCCAGGACTCCAACCCTGGACACACAATGAGATTCTCCTTCCCCTGCCCAACGCTCCCAGCTCCGAGCTCCCTCGTGGCAGCTCATGCTCAGCCCTGCAGCCACCTCTCCTCAGTGGGGCTGGCAGCTCTGATACAATCCCCCTTTACTGTGTTGGCTTTTCCAGTGACACAGCACTGGAGCAACCTCCTCTCTCCCAGCCGCAGCAGCCAGTGCCAGACTCAGGAGCCAAAAGCGGCCTCTAGATTTGTAGATGCCCTCAGCCTACGCTTGGTGTAGGGCTCTTGAGCCCTTACTGTAATGAAGGGAGAAAACTAAACGGCAGGGGATGCACAAAATCTGTTTGGCACCATGCGACTTGAGTTTTCTCATGATGAAGAAAAAGGCAGGAAATGAGGAGCAGATGTCTGGGGCTGTCTGCAGCCAGCGTCCCCGCAGGAGACGGAACATGTCCTATTTGGGAAGTGTCGACCAGCGCGGGGCTCATGTTTTTTTGTGAAACCGCTTTACTTAGAAAACGTTTTCAGCAACAGCAGAGAACATCGCACAAGGCTTTCAGTTCTCTGAACCCAATGGCTTCCTCCCTGCTTCTCAAAAAGACCAAATTTGGGCTCCAGCAGACGGTGCAAAATGCTGATGCTCTCTATTTTTCCATCTGTTGGCATCCTGGGAAAGCCAGGCTGCGGGACATGGCTCCTTCCCCCGGCGGCGTCACACCTGAGCCGCAAGCTGGTGGCTGACCCCGGTGGGACGTCACGCGGAGCAGTGCGTACCTGCCGCGGGAATTGGTGCCTCTCCTCGGCAGCCAGAACTGAGCACAACTCGCTCATTCTGCAACTGTCCCACGGCCGCTGCCAAGGGCTGCGGCGGCTGCTGTTTGCAGCTGCCTGAAAACGCTGTGTGGAAAGAAACAAGCACAGAGCTGTTCAGTCTGCAGTGCAGTTCAGCTCTTCCTAAATGGAGGAGAATAACTTGTCCCCTGCAGAGCGAGACAGACACTGGATGCAAGCTCTGCCCTCGGATCGGGGGTGGGAAAAGCTTCCCTGGGGAGATGTGCCGGATAAAATCAGGTTATCTTTGGAGATGGTGGAAAAGCAACGTGCTGGGACCCTGTCAGAACGGGCTTGTCTGAGCACATCAGGCTCTCTACGGAGCTGGAGCGATGTCCTGATGGTGCAATCCTTCTGTGTAGCTGCAGGGCCCTGAGGCAGCACCTCCAGAGAGCTGGCACGGTGAAGGAGGGCCACTGAGCCGCCAAAAGGTGCTGCAGGGATGAGAGGGGAGAGCGGCAGCAGGGCTGGTCGGGACAGGCATGGCAGAAACCTGCGTGTGCTGCAGGAGACCATGGCTGCTGCAGGAGCAGAAAGCATCTGTGCCAGCAAACCCCTTG